TTCATAAGTGTTTTCCCGTAGGATTTCTGCATTACAAGTTTTCTCTCTCATGCAGAGAAATTTGTGTTGCTGAATTGACTACAAATGTGTAACTGTAACACTTTTTTCGTGGGATATCCTGCACTCATAGACGAGCAAGACTATGAAGACCCGGACAGTTTACCGGAAGAAACCAGAGACGCCACGTTCTGGCACATCGTGCAAAATGACGGCGATGACATGTACAAACCGCGAAAGAGAACCAAACTCGAAGCGGGGCTGGAACGAGAATTCGTCCGTCTCGCCGATTTGTTGTCTATGACGGACATGCAATTGGAATGCAGGAGCCAGAGCGCAGGAGATAACAAGGTCAAGGGCGAAATTCCCGAAATCGAACTCATTGGTGCGTTGGAACCCCGTATCAAATGCAAAAATGTCTGGGTCTGGAAGGTGGCTGCAACTTGTCATGGTAAATCTGAAGCATGCAAAAATCTGTGTTGCATGAGTGCCAAAAGCTTTCCACTTTTGACCAAGATGGAAGGGAGTTTAGCATGCAGGATAGGCATGGCAGAGACCTCGCAGAGTCTGTCATGCTAAGTCCTGCACTCCAGACCTCATGGGTCATGGAAAATCTGCATGACGAGCTTACACCTTTCCAGACCCAGACACTTTTGCACTTGATACCCCGAAGGATCCACGAGATGGACAAGCGGAAGCTGCGAAACTACGCTTTCTGGATTGACCCCGAATACAACTGGAAACGGGAAGAGCAGAAGAAAAAAACCACCTCTGCTCAAACATACGGAAGCTTGTATGACGAGGAGGATGTGACGTCGCAGTGCAACCCCTTGGGGAACATAGTGACCGCCGGGACCGAAATCATCCAGGATGTCACCGGTTTTTTCCAGGAGGTAGGGGCTGCAGTGCAAAACTTGAAGCAGCAGTTCCAGTCGGCAAGCACGTCTGCGAAAGACTTCTTTCACGCCCGTGAATTCTACCGGAAGCAGCAGGACAATCTCGAAAAATGTATGGCCGACCCAGCTAAATTCGAAAAGTGTGCCGGCGAGGTTTTGGCTGACTTTGTTGACGAGGACGGGTTCAGGAAGTATGTTTTGAACTACGTCAGGAAGACCGAGATAGGGCGCAGCTTGATTGGCAGCTTTGAGTGGATATCAGTTGCAAATATGTCTGGGCGTGGAAGAGTTGGATCTTGTCATGCGATTTCTGGAAGAGGCAAAAATTTGTGTTGCATAAGCACCAAAAGCTTCCCATTTCTTGCTACGCAAATAGGGAATTTCTCATGCGGGATAGGCATCAGGAGGCCTGCGCAAAACCTGTAATGCTTTTGCGTGCATTAGAGACCAGCTGCGTTATCCAGAAGATGCATGACAAACTCCTGCAATCTTCCGCACCCACACATTTTTGCATTTGATCGTGGAATGTGGAGTACATCATGGCGCGCTTCTTCATGCGTTGGAAAAGCACGGCAGGCACGAACGACGAGCAGGCGGCTCAGAGGCTTGGGTCGGCCGGGCAGAACGTAGTTCAGGGCGAGGTGGCGGCCAACAACCCCTCGGGAAGTGGTTCAGCGCCGTCTTCCAGTGTTGCCCCGGCACCGCGGTCCACGCATTCTCCAGGAGCCGCCGCTCCGGCGGCTAGCGCGCAGCAAGTTGTATCCGCACAAGAAACAACTATGGCTGACGTGGCGCCTGATGTGGAAATTGCTGTGGCGCCTACCGCTCCTGCAGCTGGAATTGACTACTCCGAGATGGTCAGCGGACGGAATAATCGCCCTGCTTCTTCCAAATCTAAGGCGAGGCCGAAGAAGAAAAGCAAGGCCCAAGAAAGAACCCAACTGGCAGCCGCGCAACAGGTGGCTCGGGTGGAACTAGAGCTGCAGCAAGAGGCCCCTCCGGCGCAGGAAACCATGGGCGGCAGCACGGGTGGCGGTCCTGGAGCAAGTGGAACCACGGCGGCCTCTGGTGCGGTCCACGGCGACCAGCGGCCTAGAGCCATGGCCGACCCGCTCGTCAGCCGGGAACGGGATCAGACTATCGATCAGGAACTCGAGAAAGAGCACGTCCTGTACAGATCCCACCTTCCCTATCAACCAACGCAACTCGACCTCGGTAACATATGCATTGTAAAAATGTCTGGGTCTGGAAGGTTGCAACTTGTGATGCTAATTCTGGATCGTGCCAAAACTCTGTGTTGCATCAATGCCAAAAGCTGTCCACTTTTGACCAAGTTGAGAGGAAGTTTCTCATGCAGGATAGGCATTATACGGATCTCACAGAATCTGTCATGCTAGGTCTCGCATTCCAGACCTCATGGCTTATGCAAAACGTGCATGACAAGTCTCAGAATCTTCCAGACCCAGACATTTTTACATTTCATATAACAAGGCGGAAACCAACCTCGAGGGAAAGAAGCGGCAGTATGTGTTATTGAGAGGAAAAATCCCCCCTCCCCATATCAAAACTGAAATTTGTGATGCTGATTTGTGACCACAAATCAGCTTTGTATTGCAGAGAGGCACTGTTAGGGCGGAAAAATCGGCAAATAGCATCATTTTTGTCAGCTCACACTTTGGGGGGGTATTTTTTTTTCTTTTGTCAGGGAGTCAACTACCTGGAAATCAACAGAAGTAAAGCATCACTTCATCTTTTCCACGAGAAACATGATAGCTCGGCTTTCAAAAGGCCTTCATAGCAAGACACGAAACAGGCGGCAGCGCCTTCGCGCTGTGCGTTGTCGCTCAGATGGCCCGGCAATGTTGAGTAGGCCCGCTCTTCGAGAAGTGGCTGGGCCACCTCCGGGACCGGACCACAACGAGGACGCTCGCCACGAGGAAGAGGGAACCCGGCAAGGGGGGTGGTCAGGGGGGTGCATTTTTGCCCCCTTCGGACACCCCTTCCGGGTACCCCTTCCGGGTACCCTTTCGGTAGCCTATGCCGACCCCCTAATCCCCATTAGAAACTGCCGATTTTGCGTGCCCCAAAATGGTAGCCCAGAGGCAGCCCAAGCGCACCCCCTTACCCCCCCCCCTTCGGCACCCCCCCGGAAGCATTTGACTGCTGGCGCGTCCGCATTCTCAATATCTGGCCGTAAAGGGAAGATGCGAAGATGTCTGGGCGCGTACGGAATTGGATGCCGGAGAGGGGGCGCGGCTTCCCGCGCCGGGGGGCCGCAGGCCTATGCAACTTCAACAAAATGCTGCGGCTCTATTGGAAAAAGGGGAGGGCCGGATGGCGGAACGTGACAACGAAGAGCGGCGCCAGCATCTAAATGGCCAACAGGAAAAAAAGCAGTAGCGACACCCCCAATAGCCATAATTTTTTTGCCCCCCCAAAAAGTGCGCTTGCAAAAATGATGCTATTTGCCGATTTTTCCGCCCTAACACTGCGGCCAGATCCCCTGGCTAGGTAGGGGCGTATGGGTCTAGTAAGTAGCTCAGCATGGCAAACGGCCCCCCTTTAGGCCCAACAGCATGACAAACCGCTTCCATAATGGGGCGGAAGCTTCTGCCCTTGTCTTCTTGCAAGACAGATGTGATTTGTGACCTCAAATCCGCAACACAAATTCTTGGGAGCATACCTTTTCAATATGGGGAGGGGGGATTTTTCATTCTGATATGTGTGGCCCCATGATCAGAACGTGCAGCGCGTGCTCGACACCGTGTTACCCATTGCTAGACGCAGAAATAACGACGAGACGTACACGCGGCCTTGGGAGCAGACAAGCGACTTCGGCATTCAGTTGACCGATGGAATTTTCAAGCGGCTGAAGCAGTACGATGCGAAGGAGCTCACGAACTGGTCCAAGCACATTAGGTCCGAAGTGGCTCCAAAGTTAAAAAAGCTGCTCGCCGAGCACTTGGCAAAGCTTGATGTGGTGCTCAGTGACAAATTTGCTGCGGAATTGGAGTCAAATGACGGCCAAACGACCCTGGACAGCGGTCAGAGCCTGTCGCAAGTCTTCGCGGTGAGTGACTTGGAGGAACGGGAAGAAACGCGCCTGTATCACAGTGAAAACTGCCCCCCACCCCTGAAATTGCAAGAATTTGTGATGCGAAGTTTCCAAATGAAAGCTTTTTGTCATGCATGAAAGGAGTACGAATCTTTCTGATGCAGATTCTAGTCAAGTTTCGCATCGCTTGCATGACAAGCACCGCTCTTGCTGGGATCTTTTGCAATACAAATTTTTGCTATTCACGATCGGAAATCTGTGATGCTGATACACGCAAGAGGGCGAGTGTTTCATTTGGAAAGATTTGCAATACAAATGCTTTCAAGTTCGGGGGTGGGGGCATTTTTCATTCTGATAGCCTGTTAGACGAATTTTCTGGCTCGAGGTACACGGATGAAGAGAGAAAAATTATCCTGAGGAAAAACGTCCCCACGACCCCAGAGTTGTCATGCAGATGTACAATTACAGAAAACGTTTGTGATGCGCATCTCCATGAGAGCCATTTCCAATCGTGTTTTGATATTTGTAATGCTGTAAACAGGATGAGAAAATGGCTTTCTCATGCGGCTTCCCTTGCCCACCAGCACTACACTGCAGAAAGAAACTTGTCATGCACAGCTCCCAAAACTTGCGGACTTGTGGTGCTAGATTCGCAACTTGACTAAGGCTGTGGGGACGTTTTTACACAGGATAAAAATGCTGGTCGAAAGACACACCTGGGAGAATGTCGGAAGTACCACCGCAGGCTACTGGGCGTTGGACCGGCCCTACACCTTCGTGCCACAAATTAAACACGAGTACGTGATGGCCCACGGCAGGCCTGAGGTCGTCGACATTCCCACAAGTTGGTTTGACAAAGCGAGGTCGGTTCTCGACAAAAGCGAGGTCAGCGCCAAGAAGGCCAGCGCGCGGGCCCACCGGGTGGAGCGCGCCCGATTCAAACGCGTCCAGAACATCCTGGAGAAAGGTATTCTACCGGTGTTGCGCATCTACGAGAAGTTGACCGTGCAGGCCTTGCAGGTCTACTACGCGGGGATCTACAAAGTGAAGAACTTCAAGCTCCACAATATTCAGCTCTTATCCCTGATCGAAGTTGTCCGCGCGCACTGGGACAGCATGCGGAACGACTTCCTGGCGAATGGTGATATCAAATGCAAAAATGTTTGGGTCTGGAAGAATGCCAGACTTGTCATGCAGGTTTTCCATGACCCATGAGGTCCTCTGGCATGTAGGACATAGCATGACAGATTCTGTGAGAGTTCCATCATGCCTATCCTGCATGAGAAACTGCCTCTCGATTAGGTCAAAAGTGGACAGCTTTTGGCAAGCATGCAAGACAGATTTTATACATCATTCAGATTTAGCATGACAAGTTGCTTTGATCCAGACCCAGACACTTTTGCTAATGATAGGTGAGCAGTTTGTATTGAACGATGCGACGCCCCTGTTTGAGCGGAAAAGCCTGCTGCAGCTTTTGACAGGAACGACGGGAGGAGTTCTGTCTTCAGCTGGAACTTCTACTGCCATGAATGCGCAGCAGGCGTCCACTGGTGCTGGAGGTAGTTCCACCGCCCATCAATCTGGTACAACCACCACACCAGCCTCGACTGAAGATCCCCAGAGCAGTACTGCTCCTGAAATAGAACAATCCGAAAATGACCGCAGAACCCGGGGCGTACTCTTGCAAGTCGCCACGGGCGAGGGGAAAACGGAACTGCTAGCGGGTGTCGCGGTCATTATGGCAGTAGTGTACGGGAAAAAAGTGGATTCCATGACTTCCTCCCCCGTCCTGGCAAAACGCGACGCGGAAAAAAACGCGAACATCTACGAGCAATTTGGTCTCCGCGTCGCCGCGAACACACAGGACAACCAGGAAAAAACTGGCGACGGGGGAAAGTCCTCAACCCAGCGGGCCTGCTATTATCCTATGTAAAAACGCCCCTACCCCACAGTTGTCATGCAAAAACGCATGCTCGAAATTTTTCTCATGCGGATCCCCATGAGAGACATTTTCTCATGCTATCTGGAAGCTTGTGATGCTGGAATCAGAATAAGGTAGTCGATTTGTCATGCGGCTGCACTACCTCAAACAGCACTAGAATACGCGTTTAAACTTGTCATGCGAAACAGCCAAAATTTGTTGATTTGTGTAGCAAAGTCACCATCTGGACTCTGGTGTGGGGACGTTTTTACTCAGGATAGCTATTTAAGTGACGTCACGGTTGGCGACCCGGCGGACTTTATGTTCGACGCGCTGAAGTCCGAATGGTACGCCGACAACACAACCGGAAGTCGGTACGGCGTGATATGCATTGCAAAAGTATCGTACTAGTATGAATCGCATTCGCATGACAAATTAGCTGCGCAGCATGAGAAATACAATTTGTCATGCGGATTTACCTTGGGATGCAGATTTGTAATGCATGACTGCGATTACTACGAGTGCGATACTTTTGCACAGGATACGTGAAATACGAAGCCAATGTGGAAACGAATATGGTTATTGCGGGCGCAGGACCGCAGTACAAGCACATGAAGGACAAACTCCCCTCTATTCAGTACTACAGCGACGCGGGGGTAAACGCGGACGCGACCCTAGCCGATATCCTACAGAAAAACTTCCCCACCCCATAGGTGTCATGCAGATTTGCATCCACAGAAACATCTGCAATGCGCATCCGCATGGGATGATTTTGTAGTCGTTTTCTGAGATTTCTAATGCGGTAAACAGGATCAGCAGGCGTCTTTGTGATGCGGTTACGCTTGCTAAACAGAACTGCGCTACAGATCCAGATGGAAACTTGTCATGCATATACTCCCAAAACTTGGAGATTTGTGTTGCAGACTTACCAACTTGATTTAGGGGTCGGGGCGTTTTTACTCAGGATAGCCGAGCGCATGTATCTGGAGGAGTCGGTGGCGTTGCTGCCGCGGCTGCGCACGAAATTCTACAAGTACGCGAAGGCGGTCAATAGCCTGATTTCCGGCGAGGTAATGGAAGAGAGAACAAAGGGAAGCAATCTGGATGAGGAAGACGCGGATGAAAGGACTTCGATGGGCGGGAGCTTGGGACACGATGTTCTGTACCAGGAATTAACGCGGCAGTCAAACAAGCAGCTGGTTCTGGAGAAATTGGGGCAGCATTTATCCTGTATAGAAACGTCCCCAACCCCGAGTTAAGTTGGGATCTATGCAAGACAAGTCGAGCATATTTGGGACTCACGCATTACAAATTTGGCTACGCAGTGTAGTCGTGCCTAGCTAGTTGAAACGCATCACAGTCTGTGATCCTGATTAGCGCATAACAGTAGAATCCCAAATGTCATTAGGTGATGCCTCTCACGGGGAGCCGCACGACACACATTCTGAGCATGCAGATCTGCATGACAACTCTGGGGTAGTGACGTTTTTACACAGGATAGCATTACAACGGAGGGGAATTATTGATCCTGCCCCCGGAAGTGAAACGTGAAATGGCGAAGGAACAGCAGCGCACTGCGGAGGTTGGCGGGGGTGCTGCGGTGCAAAGCTCGCCGACTCCTGGTGGACCACAACCAGCGGCGGGGGGTGCAGCTTCTGCTCCAGCCGGATCGGGGGCTTCTTCCACCGGCACCGACGCTCCTATGCCGCAAGCTGGAACCACGGAACCAGCAGAGGAGGATCTTGTTGCCCCTGTTGCCCTGTTCACACCCTACATGATGAAGAATCTCGTGAGGTACATATATGGAGAGAAAAAAGTTTGTCGCAGTCATTAACTTGGTCTTCCAGGCTTTGCATTACAAATTTTTTTAGCATCGCAGCGCTTTCTTGTCTTGCAGAAACACTAGGTAAATCCCGTATGAAGTTTGGCTGTGATGCATTTTTACGCATGACACGAAATTTTGTATTGCAAAAATGCGCATGAGTGATCGCGACGAACTTTTTTTGTTTGATAACATGGGCAAAGGGCGTGATAACACAGATGCGGACGAAAAGAAAAAGTGGAAAAACCTTCTCTCTCGTCTGATTCTGAACCGCATTGAAAGGCCGGGGTACCCGAAAAAGGAAGTGCACCTTCCCGAATGGGGCGATGAGAGCGAGGTGACGCGCTATCTTCCCGGGGGACATCTTGATAAGCAGTTGCCTTCCGCCTATTTCCCTCAAATGTTCCAGCAAGTGCACAAGACCTTCGCGGCCCAGCTTGCCAAGAACCGCGTCGCCATGGCGATGGGCAGGTTGGAATTTGGGTTTGACAACGTCGCGCTAGCCGATGAGGTCGATATGATGTTGGTGAACGACTTATCCCGGACCGCCAAGGTTGCTTCGCCCTTCCCCGGCGCGGAATTTCTCGAGCCGGTTTACCATGTGCTGAAGCTGGAGATCGACCAATTTCAACAAAGACTGGTGCAGATCCCGGAAGAAATTACCTTCGCCGCGAACCGGGGTGCGCGGATGGGGAAGAAGCAGCACGTCTTGCTTATCCTGTTCAAAAACGTCCCCAGCACCCCATAGTCATCAAGTTGGGAAATCTGCAAGACAAATCAGCAAGCTTTGGCTGTTGCGCATGACAGGCGTGGCCTCGTAGTGTGGTCCTGTTTGGCTGGTTCAGCAGCATCACAGAGCTAACACATTAAGGCGATTGGAGCATCACAAATTTTTCCGCAACGCGACTACAAAACGCATCTCATGGGGCCCCGCATGAGAAACATTTTCAGCATGCAGATTTGCATATACAACTCTAGGGTGGGGACGTTTTTACATAGGATATTGCTCTACGGAGACATTGTCCGACGGCTCCCGAATTTCACGCCGATCGCGATATCAAATGCAAAAATGTCAGGGTCTGGAAGGATGCAAGAACTTCTGATGCTGTCTTCGGATTCCAAAAAATTCTGTGTTGCATGACCAGCAAGAGGATTCGATTTTGTGCTACACGGCGAGGGCATTTGTCATGCAGGATACGCATCAGAAAGCCCTCACAAAATTTGTGATGCTAGGGCAGGCATCACAGACATCATGGGTCGTGCAAAATGCGCATGACAAGTCTTGCAACATTCCAGAGGACCCAGACATATTTACACTTGATACGCGATGAACCGCAACAAATCCGGCCCCTTTTTCGACGCGGTGGAACTGCGACAGAGTTTAGCTGAGTTGGGAATTTCGCAAACGAGTGGCATGGTCGCCGCGAACAAACATGCGACTCAGCAGGATAAGAACAGCAAGATTCTGGTCCTCACCCCGGCGATTTTGCAGAAGATCCGCGAGCAGCCACTGAACAATCCGGTGGGGATTGAGTTGTCCGCGACGTTGCCAGATTCCACAACCAACGCGTTGGAGGATTACTTGCAGAAGTTCTTGGAAAAAACCATCGACTGGCGGGACCCGGAAGTGAAGAAGGAGTTCGAATTGAAAGAGAAGGAAATGGTCGAAAACTTGCGGAAAGAGCAGGAAAAGCTGGAGGAACAGAACGGCAGTGGTTCTACTTTGGATCCGCGGGCGGACGGACATGTTGACGATTTCATCATGGAGGAAGAAAATCAAGACAATTCTCCGAAGACCATCGTCCTGAAAATCGAGCACGAAGAGGACTTGCTCCTCCTTCCCGCGCCTGTTCCGGGCACCGTGCCGGAGACGAAGCTTGCGCCGAGCTCGCAGACGCTGTCGGAGTTTTTCGAGGATGTGGATGAGATGCTGTTCAAATATGGAAGTGCACAAGAACAAACTCCCCCCCGTCGTCCGCCTGATTTGTAGTACGATGTGATTTTTGTGAATCAACAGCAATATTGCCAAACGTAGCACACGAAATTCAAACACGTGGTGCTGGTGCCTGTGCTTCATGACAAGCCCTCCACGCGGTTTTTTTCCGAAAAATTGCCATGCATACCCAAATTGTGCAAAGGGGCAGCAATAGGGTTATAGGATTGTGCATGTTCTTGACAAATTAGGCAGACGAGGGGGACGAGTTCTTGTGCGCCCTCATATCGCACCGAATGAGGACAAAAAGAGCAAAGGCGGCTTGTTTCAAACCTTGCCGCATGATGGCGATGGTGTTTCTCAGATAAACACCAACAAAAGCTTCAAGCCAGTGCCGAAAGCACAGGACTTCTTTGGCCGGGCGTACCAGAACATCGGTGGGTACAGGACAGATACCGCGTCGACGGACGCCGGTAGTTCGCAGTCGACAACTAACGGTCTTGTCCCGATCCCGAGACACTGGGAGCGCCACGTTAAAGACACGTTGCCACGGTTGGTAAAATCTGCCTTACTGGCGTACTATCAAATGTAAAAATGTCTGGGTCTGGAAAATTGGAACTTGTAATGCGTGTCATGCACTCCTGGAAAATCTGTGTTGCGTGAGCAGCAAAACAGAGGCTTTCTTTGTCATGCGAAAACGCAATTTGTAATGCGTGCTAGGCATCAGCAGACCTCTCAAAAACTTGTCATGCTTGGCTGCCATTGGAAGCGCTTCAATCATGCGCAATTCAGCATCACAAGTTTCCAGACCCAGATACTTTTACATTTGATACGTACTTCACCTTCCAGGAAAACGTCGACTACGTGGTCCAAAATGACGCGATTAAGCCGGTGTCCGGCGCGACCGGTATCACGCAGGATTCCCTCCACTGGTCGGATGGTATTCACCAAATTCTGGAAGTGATGCACGGCTTGCCTGTCACCCCGGAATCGTTACCAACGAACTTTTTGTCCAACTTCGCTTTTTTCCGCCGGTACAAATTTCTTTACGGCGTGACTGGCACACTTGGGTCCCCAGCAGTCAGGCAATCGCTGAAGCAGGCGTATCAGCTCAAATCCCGGCGGATGCCGCTGTCCAGGAAGAAGCGCTTCGTGAATTACGCACCGGATTTGATCGGCACCGAACAACTGATGGTCCTCGCACGAGGTGGAGCGGGGCCGACTGGGGTCGCGCCATCGTCGGGTGAACAACATCAACCTACTTCCAATGCAGTCACGACAACCAGTACAAGTGGCAGTGCAGGAGCTTCGAAAGTCGTGAAGAAAACCGCACCGTTGTCCCAGCGCGACCGTTGGATTCAGAAGGTCGTGGAGAATGTGCTGAAGGAACTCCGTCGAAACCGCGGCGTGCTGTGCATTTGCCGCAGTATTGAGAACGCAACGCTGATCTCGCAGGCGTTGAAGCAGTCCTGGCCCGAGCGGGATGTCAAGGAGTATTTGAGGCAGAGCAACGCCGATGTGGGGTCCGGGGAGATGGAGCCCTTCCGGCCAGGTATGGTCATTGTTTCCACAATATCAAATGTAAAAATGTCTGGGTCCTCTGGAAGATTGCCAGGTTTGTCATGCACATTTTGCATGACTCCTGATGTCTGTGATGCATGCCCGAGCATCACAGATTTTGTGAGGGCTTCCTGATGCCTATACCGCATGACAAATGCTCTTTCCGTGTAGCAAGACTTGGACTCTCTTTGCTGCTCATGCAATACAGATTTTTTTAGAATCCAAAATCAGCATGACAAGTTGGATTCTTCCAGACCCAGACATTTTTACAGTTGATACACAAACTTGGCGGGCCGCGGCACGGACTACGAAACGAACAAAATCGAACCGTTTGGCGGTTTGTATGCAATGCAAAACAAGTATCGTACTAGTACAAATTGCATTACAAATTCCCCCAGCATTACAAATCAAATTTGTAATGCTGATTTACCTTAATAAACAGATTTGTAATGCGTAAATGCAATTACTCCGAGTACGATACTTTTGCAATGCATAGTTTGCACGTCGAACTGACCTTCCTCGCGGAATCCCGGGAAGAGGCGCAGGCCCTGGGCCGCACCAGTCGCCAAGGCAAGAAGGGCACGGCGCGAGTGACGGCGATGGTGACGCAGGGATTTTTGCTCGCGGAGAAGGAAAGCGACATCCTGTCGCTACAGATGGGCGGGTTGGAAGGAAGCAGAAATCTTTCCTTCGAGGATGAGTTTTTCGAGAAACAGTCGCTCGACGAAAAACTGCAGGACATTTCTTCAGATGCGATCGGGGATTATAAGATAACCGGCATAATTTCTCCGCCCACGGCGTTGCTCCCAGCCCCAGCGGGTTATGATTTCCTCGTCGGGGAAGTAGATGTCGGGCAGCAGCAGCAAGGCCAAGGACATCTTCAAAAAACCGTGTGCAGCAAAGTCACTGCCCTGAAAAAAGTTGTAGCGGAAAACGCGGTTATGACGTCAGAACAACTTTTAAAAGCGATCGACGCCACGCAGTTACCTTCAGGAATAACTATAACGACCGCAGCGGCAGGTGGAAATGGAAATGCTGACGTCCCAATGGGCACCAGTGCCCCCGCTCCTGCGGCAACGCCACCCGTACTCCTACCGTGGGTCACCGACAAACTGTTACCCCTGTACTCCGCAGTCCTTGAAAAATCCAGCAAGGATGCTACCAGCAGCGCATTGATCGGGGCGAACAGTGAGGAGCAACGGTTGATCCAGTACAAAACCCAGTCGGAGTCGCAGGAGAAGAAGCGACTCCACGAATTCCACAACAAGGACTTGCTCGTGATTAAGACGCAGGATTTGCTGTACAGCAAGTTTCTGTTCCAATACCAAGGGTTTCGAGTTACGTTGGAAAAGAAATTCGATTTGACCAAACAGGCCTGGTACCTGCAGAAAAAGGCCCAGATATCGAATGTCGGCATCGTTGGGGGCGGCGTGCTGGCGGGGGCCGTGGTGGGTGTGCTGATCGCCGGGCTGTTTGCATCGGGCATTGGGGCGGTAGGCGGCCTGGGCCTGGCCGCCTTCGGGTCCAGCAGCACGGCAGTCGCCGCGGTTTCCGGAACCTTCGCCACGGCCGGGGCGGCTACCGCCGGCACCGCCGTGGCCACTACCGCCACCATATCGCATGCACAAATGTCTGGGTCTGGAAGAAGATTCCGAGGTTTGTCATGCTGGTCCGGCATGACCCTTAACTCTGTATTGCGTGGCCACAAACAGGCTCTCTCGCCTGTCATGCAGAAACGCAGTTGCTCATGCGGAATACGCAGCGCAGAAGCAAGAAAAAACTTGTCATGCTTGGCGACGCATTACAGTGCATTCCTTATTGACTGACTTGCATTACAAGTTTCCAGACCCAGACATATTTGCAGTGCATACACCACAGCCGGCTACGCGGCCACGGTTGCGGGAGTCCAGGTGGGGTACTATCCTAAGCAAAAACGTCCCCACCCCATAGTCAAGTTGGGAATCTAGCAACACAAATCTCCAAGTTTTGGGAGCTGTGCATGACAAGTTTCCCTCTGCAGTGTAGTGGTCGTTGGCAAGGGAAGCCGCATGAGAAAGCCATTCTCTCATCCTGTTTGCAGCATTACAAATTCCAAAACGCGACTGAAAATGCCTCTCATGGAGCTGCGCATTACAGCTGTTCCTGTTAATGCGCATTTGCATGACAACTCTGGGGTGGGGATGTTTTTACTGAGGATAGGTACGGCGCCATGGCCATGGGAGCCGTTGGCGCTCTTTTTGGCGGCAGCGAGGCCCGGAAGTACACGCAGCAAAACCCAATTGACAAAATCCGCGAATACAACACGCTGCAGGCGCTGGCCGAGCAGTGGGCCTTGTTTTTGGACAAAAGCCGCGGGAAAATTGAAGACGCAAACAACAAACAGCTCGCGGCCATCAAACAGGCCGCAGAGGGTGTTGAGGTAGGCATGCTTTCCTCGTCAACTTTCAAGACCACCAACTCCCCAGACGGTATTATCCTGAGTAAAAACGTACCCACACCAGAGTCAAGATGGGGATTTTGCAACACAAACCTAGGAGTTTTGGGAGTCACGCATGACAAGTTTCAGTCCGCAAGGTAGTGCAAGTTAGCAAGCAAAGCCGCATGACAAATCGACCTGCTGATCCCGTTCACAGCATCACAAATTCCAAAACACGATTGGAAATGGCTCTCATGCGGATGCGCATCACAAATGTCTTTGTCGTTGCAAATCTGCATTACAACTCTGGTGTGGGTACGTTTTTACATTTGATAGGTATGGACGTAGATTCTACTGGAGCTCCGCAGGCTGCCGGGCAGCAACTACACAGCACTCCGATCCCACCGGTCCGCGACCCGGCGAAGATTCAAGACGAAGCGCTGCGCCGCTACGAAAACTGGCTCTCCGAGCTTCGCTGGGACTTCGAGGGCACGGAAAAGCGGCCGGACAAGAAGGAGGACGAGTTTGAAGACATGCGGGCGAAGGCCGTGCTGGGCGTGGTGCTATCACTTGCAAATATGTCTGGGTCTGGAAACTTGTGATGCTGTTCGGCGAATCATTTGGACGCCTTCCTTGACAGGCAAGCAAGACAAGTTTTGGAGTTGCTATAGTATTGCCTATCTGCATGACAAACTGCGTTTCTGCATGACAGAGAAGTGTGACTTTTGGGTGGCGTGCATGACAGACTTAAGAGCCAAGCTAGTCGTGCATGACAGACATTACATTCTCCCAGACCCAGACATATTTGCATTTGATAGGTGCGTGTGTTCGTCCACATGGACGCGAGTAATACCGGTATGGACCCTTACCCCTTGAAATATTGAGAGGAAAAATCCCCCCTCCCCATATCGAAACGAAGTTTCTGATGCTGGATTTGCGTACACAAATCAGATCTGTCTTGCAGAAAGTGCTTGGCTGCATTTTCTGAGCCTGTTTGGGTATGCAGAAGGCTAGCAATTGCGCATGGCAAACAGGTTCGCAGCAGTCGAAAGCGCATGACAGACTTGCTCTGGAATGCGTAAAATGGCTCCTATGACCCTATATGCAAGACAGAGACGATTTGTGGCCACAAATCAGCATCACAAATTTCCGTTTCGATATGGGGAGGGGGGTTTTTTCATTTTGATATGAAACAGGAATTGCTCACGCTGGATGCAAAATTCCCGGACGCGTGGGAAGCGTTCCAGCGTCAGAAGCAGGTCATTGAGGAGGAAAATATCGCCGGCGAGGGAGATTCTACTTCGAATCCCGCTTCGTCATCACCGCGCAGTGACCACAGCTCTGGCATGATAACCAAAGTCGAGGAGCTGCGCGCTGATTACACGAAATACGTCGGGTTGCGCGCGATGAAGAACCCCTTTTACCACATTCGCATCGGTACACTCGCGTTGGAAGCAATCCGGAATGACGACGCCTTGGCGTTCGCGCGCGCGCGCGGATCGTGGGATGAGGGTGCTATCGGGTACAAGGTCTACGAAATCCCGATGCGACATTTCGAATCGGCTATTCACTTAGATGCGACCTTCGCGGGGCCTGCGTACTTCGGCCAGGCCTGGTGGCTGGTGCAAAGTGAGGCGGAACCCCTGCGAACGTTCGAAGCAAAATTGGAATTGAAAACGACGTTAGAGCGGGCGAGCTACTCAATCCAAAAGGAAGTGGATTTGCGGGAATTTCTAATTGCCATCAGCTCCGCTGCGACCAAGGGAGACCAGAAGGAAAATTTGCGTACAAAAACCACTCCGGGGGCGGAGTCGTTGAAACGGCGGCAGCAGGTGGCCCGAGCTTGGCTGGAAAACGTGAACAGCAACATCGAGGAAATCGAGCTGGTGCAGCGGCTACCAGACGTCATTGCAAAGAAGACCATGGTACTGCACACGCAAAACAGCGACACGCTGATCCCGAAGCACGTAAAGACTAACGATGAGGATGAGACTGTGGCCAAAAAATCGGTCGTGGGAGGGTTGCAAATCGTGGGCGGCGGAAGTGGAAGCAATAGAGCAGGAAATGGTGCAGCTGGTGCTGCAACAGCTGTTCCTGGTGCAACTGCAGGAGCGAATGCTGCGTCAGGAACAGCACCTGCGAATAAACAGAAGCTCCGCAAGAAACACACAATGTTTGCGAAGGTCATCGACGTGGTGGAAGTGCAGAAAGTCCCGAAGACGCCGACGTACCAGAAGGAGATCGCCCATTGGGACCACTTTGACGGCTTGAAAGAGATCGGGCTGATATGGAACGAAAAAACTGTGTCAGTGTAGGTGTCTTCGGGTGACAGCATGACAAATTTGTTCTGCATGACACAGAAATCCTGTCATGCAGAATTAGTACGGGAAAACACCTGCGCAATAGGACTTCATGGCTGTCTGGCATGACAAGTGTAACTATTTTGCATTTTCCGCATCACAGATTTACGCTTACACAGTTTTTTTCTTGCATAGCTGAAGCGAAGGGAAAAGTTGTTCCAGACTTTCGCCAAGGAATTTATCGTCAAACGTGAGCAGACCGCGAAACAGGAAATTCCCCAGCAAAACCAAAATGGCCAAAATATCCCTGCACAAGAAAACGTGATCGAGATCGACAACTCCGTCTACGGCGAAACAGAAAACCGTTTGCGGTTGCAAAACGAGCACACGCTGCATCCGAACCAGTCCCAGATCCGGCTGGCACACCGATACGACACAAAGTACACGAAATTGGTGGATCAGAATGAGGATGAGAAGTCCCCCGGACGTTGGTCCGCAGTGTCATCTTCGTCCGCAGTGTCCAAGGGCATGCAGCGCATCATGAAAGAGCGCAGCTTCTGGCGCCAGCAGGAGCTCTACGACGTCCGAACGCGTGGTTTTACCCTGTATGAGGACTTTGGGCGAAGCAACGACCAGGCGGTGGAGGCCTTGTCCCAGTGGTACCGCGATGTTGCGTATGCATTGCAAAAGCATCGTACTTGTACTAGTAGACATTGCATTACGAAGGTGGCTAAGCATGACAAATTGAACTTCTAATGCGGATTTGCTGCGAGAAAGAAACTTGTAATGCATGACTGACTGCAGTTGTTACGGAGGTGGTACGATAGTACTTTTGCAATGTATATTGCGAGCCGCAGCTACACGAACACCCTGAGTGGGACGTCCGGCTACCCCATCGGCGTGATGCCGCGGGTGCAACTGGAGCTCCCAC